ATAAATTCTAAGAAAAAATAATCAATATTGTTTTATTCAAGGACAGATTTATTACGAAAATCTGGAGGAGGATTATTCATTTGAATGTACCTATACTACACAAATAATTTTTTTTATATAACAAATTTAAAATATCCACAATTCGATTTAATTTATCAAAAAAAAAAAAAAAAAAATGTTTATATATTTATTAATAGTTGCATAATGTTTAAAGCAATTAATTAATTTACTCATATTAGTATTATAGATTTTAATTTATAGTAGGTACAATAGATTTCTTTATGAATAGAATTGAACACACAATAAACATAATTAAGTTATTCGGTACACCCTATTGGAATGAAGCCAAGTTTTTACCCGTCTCAAAGTAGAATAACTTTTTTCAGATTTTTTCACAAACAATTTTCATTTTAAAATGACTATATAGTTAAATGATTAGATAAAATAATTATTGAAATCCATTTGGAATTGTTTATGTGTGTGGTCTTTGCTTAAGGGATATATACTTTGAATTTTTTCATAGGGCATTAATTATTTCGACCAAAAATCTTAATTTTTGTTTTTTCTAAATCTATTTTAACTTACTTAAATAAATTATAGTTTGAGTACCATTAAAATTTGTCTAGGAGATACCACGAAGGGGCAGTTCTCATTGACTTCTAACCAATTATTTAACTTAATTTTCAGATAAAAGTTCAAAAATTTTAATTTTAATTTTTAATTAAAATAAGTTAATTATAATTCAATTTATGTACACAGTCATTTTTTTTTAAAAATTCTATAAATTATTTATTATTTCAAATATTTGTTGCATACCCTTTTTTAAAACATTATTCTTAATATTGTTTTATTTTTTTATTCGTCTATTGCGTTTGTTGTATTAATTATTCTTTTTTTTAATGTTATATCTAACTGGTTTTTGTATACCTAAGTTGCAACTGTTAATTTTAATGTATGAGCATCTAAAATTAAAATTTTTAAAAATGTGTCAATGTATAAATGTGATTTATAAAAATGTTCATTAAAATTCACATGAAAGAATTCACAATTCTCTTTTTGTTCTGGATATATATATATATTTGAACTTGCACTAAAATTTGACCATATTTTTGGGAGAAATATTTCTATTTTCAGAGATATAATTGTAAGTTGAATAATCAACTTATTTATAATATGTTGACTTTTCTAGTATTATAGATATAATATCCTCGATAAATGATTCTAAATCTTCTTAAATATTTAAAAATATAAATCCAAATGTCCTTAGCTACCCATTTTCTATACATTCTGTACAAGGTTCTAACTCTTAAATTCTTTGGATATTACGATTGAGAATTGAAAAGGCAGAAAATAAGATTAGTTGAAGGCTAAATACATAATATTGCCTTATAAAAATTATAACTTACTGATTTCAAAATCAGCTGTTACATTTTTTCGTAACATTTATTCTGAAAATATTTAAAAGCTTGCGTAAAAGTTTCAAAGTTTTTATTTTTCAATAAACAAATAAATAAACCTAAAAGTTATTCTTTATGATATAAAAGGTAAATAACAAAGTCAAATATTTTAAGCAATATTCAAACTTTTTGTCGACAAAAATTGTATGTTATTCACATAGAAACATTAAATTTATTTTATAACAATAAATTCGAGTATAAATGTCTTTGAGTCTTGGTCGTTAACTAATAGACATTCTTCGCCATTTGAGGTAGATGTGTCAGTATTATATATTGCAGAATATATCTAATGTCGAAAGATTAGTTGGAAATGGACGCTTTTATACTCAAGATATATTATATATATATATTGATAAATAGTTGAAACATCATTACCTAACCGTAAAAATTAGAACATTTATTTGATAGAATTTCATTCAAAATTATTTTTTGAGTTTTTTCACAACTCTCATTTACCGTTTTTCGCTTACGATAAATCGCCACTTTTTGTGTATTAATATTTAATCACGGCCTATGGTATTTGTGTTCTATAATTTAGTTAATTAATACGTACCTAACTAGTTTTAATATATTGAAAAAAAAATTAAATTAAAATAAATACAATTTTTGAAAATACTTGTTTTACTATACCTTTTAATATTCTGGTATATTTTTTTTTGGCATGGCACTCATAGATTCGAATATTATATAGGTTAGATCAGTTTTTATTTATTTTTATTATTGCTTATCCGTATCCCGACTAAATTTATGAACGATAGTACTCGAGGTTCTCAAATTTTATCTTACTAATATAAATATAAATAAATTTGGTGAAAACGATGACCCCATGTTAAATTTTTCCCTGACTTACTCTATGTAGATTGTATATTGAGAAAAATTGTATTGTGTATTTATTGTGTTTTTTTTAATTAAATTGTTGATAACATACTAACTAAAGAAATTTTTTTTTGAATATTTAAAAAAGTTGATGAATTTTATTTTTAAACAATCTTAATTTTAAACTCAAATTAAGTATATTGCTAAATTTTAATTGTATTAAAAAAAAAAAAAAAAAAAAAAAATGAAAAACGTTCAAAAGAGTATTTTATAACTTAAAAAGCGCATACCTACCTTGAAATATACGAACTATCAATACTTCAATTTTTTCGAATGGTGGTTTACTTATGCCACTACAATGCTACGTGCTGCACAATACGTTTTTCGATCAGTATTCTGTATTTTAGTATTATTTATTGATTTATTTAACAAGATTTTCCCTTATATTATCAAAAGATGCATCAAAATGCATTTCCGACCATTTTACTAATCTCTGGTGAATAAAAAACTTTGTGGATTTTTTTTTTTTTAATCATTGGCTGTCGTGACACATATTAAAAATGACCTTTGCAAATGCTATTACAATTATTGCAGTGAGTCAGTAGCGTATTTACAAACTTATATATATATATTTTTTGTGAGGATGAGGTGACAGGAGAGGATACAAAAATTTTCCATTAGGGACGCATAGTCAGCAAAAAAGAAATTAATTTTAGTCGGCAATATTTTGAAGACTACACCCTCCCCCCCACAATTTTTTTCTGAGATCGTCCCTGGTTTATAGTTTTATACATGTTTTTTTTTTTTTTTTTGGTGGGGCCACTCCCTATAAAGACGCCATTACAGTGAATGAATGAGTTTTAAACTTTATTGCGTTTCGGTTCGAGTTCATCAAGTAAATATGGCTAACATAATATTGTATGATAACGACTTATCCCACTTTCTTCGAATTATATAACTTTTCAACGACAAATTATATTACTTTTATGGAATTAACAAAAGTGTAATATAACTTAAAAGTGAATTATTTGTTTCATAATCATAGTCTATTAGATAAAATACCTGGCTTTGATGTTTTAAAAAATATTGTTTTACGGTAAAATGATATGCGTAGTTCTGAATCTATGCTGCATATTGTTACTACTACGTATTTTATAGCAGATTAAGTTTGTTAACCATTTATTAATTTTTCCCGTATATAAACGAAAACTGAGAGATTTTTGAATATTGAATTATATAATACTTATATGTTTATTTATAATTTATTGTCTCAGTGTGTAATATGATTAAGTATGAATATTTGAGGATATAAATATTTCATGCACGATACTCTTTAATATGTTATGTAACCAAATTAGAACGTTTTATTTTATATATGATAATTTTTTGTTTTTATTTTTTTGTAAACTTAGAACATAAAAATGATTTATAAAAAATTGTTCAACAGCAACCGTGGTAAAATTTTATTGTACCGTTGTTTTTTTGTCTATATTCAGAACTTGGCATTTATTTAAAATTGTTTCTTTTTTTAACAATCTCCATGTTTTGAATTTTTTAGCTATTATATATCTTATATTTTTTGCAAAGTCTGGCGATATCATAAATTACATACCGTATAATAGTATATATATATATATATACGTATAGTACTTCACGTTATTAATGACACGTATAAAGAATCGTTATATTTGACACGAATACCTACTTTACAACATTAGTGCTATTTTAAGACGACTTTTGAAAGAAAAAATATCCTTATTCGTAAGACAATAAATAATGTAGAGTCGAAAAAAATTTCGACGTAAAATATGTTTTATATGACAGTTGTCTATAATACATTATGATGTATAATATGATTAGTATCGACCGAATTACAACAGTAACACAGACATGTCGTATACGACAAAAAACTGGTTAACTGTAAATAATGGTTATACGGATTTTTAATTTGAAAAAAAAACATAATGTGATAGTATTGTTTATTATTATAAAGTATAATATTATGATGAAATAGCCTTTACAACAACCACGATTATGTATCATTAGCTATAACTGCGGTTGACAGTACATTATCAATATTATATCCACATAAAGTCATAACGCGCGTTTGAACATTATCGCAGCTTTATGCTCGATCGGACGTGTGTAAAATACCCAATGTCCATAGTTTGTTATACACAGCTTTTGCCAAATGTCCGTGTTATTACGTTTTCGTTCAAATTACGTTAAAATTGATCTCGTATTGACGTAGAATTTAGATGAACTCCCATAGAAAGATTATAATATGTACTAAAATATAATAAACTCAGTGTCGTAATTTACCGAGTATAGTCATCACCTTCATTCTGTTATTGATAATATATTAATATTAAATTCAATTTTTTTTTTCATTTTAATTGTATTCAAAAACAATATATTAAAATAATTAGAGTTATTTTTACAATTCAAGGAATATCCTATAAGGATTCAAATTTTTTTCAAATTAAACAATCCTTTTAATATTACAAATCATTAGTCAAAAAAATTTTTTTGAATTTTTTTTAAAAATTCAAATGACTAATTTTTCAATTATTTAACTTTGTGTATTAAGGATAATTTTATTATAAAAATTAAACTACATTAAATACTGGATCCTAGATTAAACATATTTTGTATGCATATACTATACAGTAATAATATACTTCGAATTATTTTAATAATTTTTTTTTTTGTTTTCATATTTTTCAGACTTTAGTCTATAGAGATGGCATTCTGTTATCCGGACCGTTGTCCAGTCTTATTCAACACTTGGTCCCCACCACTGATTATTACCCAGATCAAGCGTATCTATTTGCGTTTATTCTTAGCTCCCGGTTATTCGTGAAACCACACGAACTGCTTGCCAAAGTCGTGGCTGTATGTCACGCACAGCAAAGGCTTGGTGACCAAGTATCGGCTGCTTTAAACCCTCTCCACAAGGTATGTATAATGATTATATAAATTTAATAATCATGTATTATGTAATATATACACAAATATCCTAGAGAAATCTGTAGGTTTGTTAAATTTATTGTTTCGATAGGTTTATAAAGTTTATGACTATGAAGTTTATATAGATTAATGTTGTCTATAGTTTTAAATTCATAAACTGAAATATGTTATAGGCATTCGTTGAATCAATTTACTCATTTTATAGTAATACGGAGTAAAATATTAAAATAATAATTTATAATTAATTAAATAGAAAATATACTTAGATTTAATATAATAATTTTATTTTTAATCCAGCATTATATGATTAATTTTACTATTTAATTTTATGTAGTGTATTAAAAACTTAATGATTATATAATAATTGAAATTTATAATTTTTATATTTATAGAATTTAATAATATTTATAAACTTAAGAAGTCAAAATCGCTCAAATACGTCGTTCTGAATACACGATTCAGATAAAAGGTAGTCAGTCGCCATTTTCTTGTTAATTTTTATATAAAATAATAATATTATTACCTTTATCATTGTTTAATTTTTTTTATCTTGTTTTAGAAAACAATATCTCTTCTTTTCTCTAATGCATAGATATTCTTTTATCTATTTAGTCAAATAATTCCACGAAATTAAACAGTATTTAACGTAAAATAAGAATAATATTAAAATTTTCAATTTTGAACGAAACACATTTTTTAAATATAACGAATACTACAGCGACATTAATTATTAATAATAATATATCATACAAATATCGAATCGTTATTATCCACATTTGACAATTTCTCTTATCCATGCATGCCAGTTTAAAATTATGACATTAATTAATATACAATAGTTCCGCTATACGTGCAAAACAAAAATTCTTTTCCGGTAAATTGAAAATTCAATACAGTTTTTGGTTTTACGTTCCTTATCTATTTCTAATTATAGATATAATAAATATATATAGGTATTCATGCTATTATATTTACTCAGATTTAATAAATCATGTGCAAGAGAACATCGACCTATTGGTATTATATTACTGTGGTAATATGGTAATATGTTATTTCCAAATCGTTTTGTTTCTAAAAGTTATAGTTAAAAAATAACATTTGACCACTTATTAAATCGGTTAAAATATTTAATGATTTAAAAGAAATGTTAAAAGTTTTTTAACAATTTTTTTTTTTTTTTTAAGATGCATATTATATTGATTCTTAAGTTGTATGTCATATATATATATATATATATTATACATCAAATATAATAATACAACTTATACAATTTTTCAATTTTTTTCAATTATTTTAGTTCTTTAAAAATATTGATTAAAAAATGTTTTTATAATAGAGTATTATAAGTAACTGATATATTATAGTATTATTCGATTATAATAAAATAAATTAATTTAACTCTTTTTCTACTTTAGATTGCGTTAATCCATTTAAATACTATTATTGATATTTTTTTTTCGTTATTTAAAATTAATGAAAAACGTATTTGAGATTGTAAGAGTATAATTTTTTGTGCAGGCGTACAATAGGACGTCGTCTATATACCGACCTGTTATTAACTTTTATATTATATATTGCTTTTTATTGCCGAGTCTATAAGATTTTTTTGGTTTAGTATGAAACAAACTTGCATTATATTACATAATATCTCATTATAATGATTGGCAATAGCGTTTTTTTTTTTTTTTTTTTTTTATATTTATTAGTTTATAAAATTGTCGCATCGCCCGTACTTTTAATAAGAATTAGGAAAAGGGATTTTCATTTTATTTTTACCGTTCAAGTATAAGACATTGTTGTCACGTTTCTATGTACAACGCTATATGATATAATACAAAGCTTGCACTCGAATAGTTTAAATACCACGTGATATTGTACGTTTAAATAATTGCTTCTTTTCTGCTAGAGGAACGAAATTTTTTGGAATATGTTTATGACATAGACCGAGATTCCAGACAAGTTATCCCTACATTGCATAAATGTAATATAATATTTTACTAAATGGATTTTTTTTTTTATCTCTATTATTACTCGTTTTATCGGTAATTTGTTGATAACCGTAATATTTATATCATATGAAAAGGGGAGAGAGAGAAATTATTTCCATATCCTTAAATCTTTTCTCACCTTAATGTTTAATAATCATCTATGTTTTAATATTGAATTACATTTTTTTATTAATAAGTACACATAAAGCGTATTAAAAATATTATATGTATACATAATAATTATTATCGGATTAAACTATTGTCAGTAAAGATGTTAAATTCTAAAAATACAAATAATTATGAATCTCACACTTCGCGTAAATTCGATTCAAATTAATGAATTAGACCAAATGTATTAAAATTAATCTTTGGACATGCAATATATAACACAATTTTATTAAGTTTTTTTCGTTCTCTATTACAGGATCAGCTGTCGCGATTCGTGCCCCGGTTAGTCCAACTATTGGCCGAGTGGACAGACAAGTTTCCATACGACTTCCGTGACGAACGGGTCATGGCGCATGTCCGGGAGATTACACATCAATGTGTGTCCGTTGAACCGGCTGTCCGACACCAAGTCTCTGCGATGCTACAGACGTTATTGCACAGGCTCACGGCTCTCGACAAGTACGAGACTTTCCTACAACAGACTGGCACTGATGCCACAGTTGGATCTGCTGATGCTTTATCACCGGTAAGAGTTGCTCATTAATATAATTATACATTTTTTTTTTCATAAAAAAGTCATGTATACTTTTATGTGAAAATGTAGTGCCTACTACCATGAATCTGCAGGGAGTATTTATAATAATTGAGTCGAATCGGTATTGTTTTTAAATTTTTAAACACTCGTACAGTTACTTTAAATGTTTATATTGTTTCGATTATTGATATGGTATATTATCATTCTTACTTGGAAGACAATGAATGATCATAATTTTCTATGAACTCTTTTTTTATCTGCGTTTGGTGTTCTATTTAATATATTCGTAATAAACAACGATTTGATTCATAAATCGAAGCCCTACAACAGTCTCAAGCATTTGTACTTAACTTTTATTTTGATAAACTTCCAACACATTAATTAGTCGAATTATGTTTGAAATAAAATGTGTTAAACAGCTTTTGTGAAAAATGTTTTATAAAAAAAAAAAAAAAAAATCAGATATTTTCTACTGTACTATACAATATTATAATCTCACTGGTAAAAAATGTCATCGTTTCCGCCAGTATACTTAGTATTAAAATAAGATATGGATTCCTATAATTTTCAAACTAGTAGAATCAGAATTGTATACATACTTCAGTAAACATTACATGTTTCGTTATAATGGTCACCGCATAGTGTTATCCAAGTCCTTTACCTCCAACCCTCTGGCACCGAGCGTGAAAGAACAAACGCTGAGTATAGATTAATATACGTTTATTATGCTATTACAAACGAGACGATGCTTATTTTTATTAAATATATTATCGTTTCGTGCATACATACGAGTGTGTGTTGCGTTAGATAATATATATCTATACGTTTAGATCACCCCCAAGTCGCGAATAATTACATTCCTCGTTTGCCTTGCGGTATATTATATAGATCCACAAACCGATCGCATTGCGATATTTATCCGTTTACATGTCAAGCGAATTTATAATTACCTACAATCTAAATGATGTACAGTGCGTTCGCCATTGAATTCAGGATCGGCTATGTATATCATGTGACCACGCATACGCGTCATTACGTATGCATACTTGTATGTGCATATATTATATCTGAAGATATGATCTATTTTTAACTTTGATACTATAATTTAAACTAAATATTTTATGCGTTCTCGCAAATTATATAAATATATCCACAACATTTTTAATGTTATTATTTACCTATTATAATATTATTATATTATATTTATATTTTTGATATAAAACCATAGAATATCATAACTTTTTTGCCTTTAATTTAATTTTTGTTTCCTCAAAAGTGTTGAATACTATAATAAAATTTAGTACCTAGTACTCATCCAGTGTTATCTTATACTTACCCAACATACCCCATTTAGATAAAAATATAATCGGTGATTACTTCAATTACTGTGTCGGTATTGGAATGTGAAGACCATAAATGAAAAACGTTCGACTCTTTTAATAGCTGTATTAAACATTTCATACAATTACATAATATGTTCTACTTAAACTATTTAATATCACGTTACTACTATTGACATTTATAATTTAATATAGTATTAGCTATTTATGATATTTACACATCTCTAATGACATGTATTCATTTTTGACAACGCTATTGAAAATGATTGCATTATTCCACGTTGATAGTTATTGTATGGTGTTTAATTGCATTTAAATATTTATGTACGTCGACCAATACACACTAGTTGTGGATATCTTTGAATCATGGTACATTTATCAGTATATACAATTGATTGCATTCGGTTGAATTTCAAGCTATCCGTAAACATGAATAACAAATAAAAATAAATAAATCCGATGAAATTGAGTTGCATGTAACTTCAACCAACCAAGCATATTATAATATTGTACCTCTAATATAAAATTGTATTTAAATTAATATTTTAAACAAGATGAATTGCATACTTATACCCCGCTTTTGTCATTTAATAATGCGTTTATTAAATTTATAATTTAAGGAATATATGATTATTGATTACTCTAAATACCATATTTTTAAATACTTAAAAATGTTTAAAATATTTAGGCAATACGAATTCTTTTTTTCAAATGAGAATTACTAATTCTAATGTAAATTTTTATTTGGGAATTGTTTAAAGAAACACATTACATCTAAATTGAAATTCCAACAATTAAATCCCGAGTTCTTAAACTGTATAATTTAAGATAAATTATAATCCTTAAGAATTGTTTTTTATAAAATATATGATTTATGGTTCTTTAGTGTAGTACTTATTAATTATTAATTTGAATTATAAAAATATTAGAAAAATATTTTTATAGATAACGAAATTGTCGTAAATTATTATTAAGTATCATAATTTTAAATCATCGTAGTAGGTAAGGATTTTTTAAATTAATTATTATAAACTATTATTTTTGATGTTTAAACATTTAAAAAACTATAATTATAATTAGTGTTAATTGATTTATTACTGAATTATTTTTCAAAATAATCATCTAAATAATTTGCAATTTAATAGAACGATTCTTTTTAATTTCATAAATAATAGTATCAACGCCGGAAAATTATTAAATAATTTCAAAATTATAAGTAAGTAATTTAAAATATGATTTCTATTTAGAAAATTTTCAAAAATCATAATTTAAATGATTTTACAATAAAATTAAAAACACGAGATAGGGAAAGGTGAGCATGTTTTGTAGATTATACCCTATTTATAGTATATTATATGTTATATCGAGTTGGTATAGTAAGGACATACCCGGAGTATTTTTGCTGCGTCAGTGATCGAAAATACAAATCGCACTATAATATACATGACTTGAATGGGGTTAAAAACTTAAATCCAAATCAAATGCATACAGCATAATATGTATATGCCTACTTCGCAGGTACATTTATACAATATAATACAGTTTCATGGTTATTTTTTTTTTCAAATTACTTGAATTTTTTCAAACAATTTTCTTTATACGTTTTCTTGTGATTTAATACATACCCAAATGACCTACGACAGCAAGCTTAAATTAAATATATTTATTTGTTATCCGTTGCCCGAGTGAAATATAATACCATAAAAGTGTCATATATATTTTATTTTTAAAAGGTTTTGAATTTATATTTTAACTTTATTTATTATGATCATTAAGTTGGAAATTTGAGAGATTTCGGCAATTTACTTATATTCAAACTTAGTTTTTAAGTTAACGCAACTTTACTTAAACTAAATAATCAAAATGACTAACTTGTCTAGATTTTGGGTAACGAGAGTATAATACTGATGATCCATTTATGAAAACAAAAAGTACTTTATATTATTATTATTTGTACTTAATATATGCGTGTATCATTATTATGATAGCATTTTAAACGATATTAATTTCGTGGAATTTGCGTTTAACTTTCCATAATTTATACCATCGGCATAAACGCGCATATTATGGTTTCTGTAATTACAGAACAATTATCCAAAACTTAATAGGTTTGTCACAATCACGCGTGAGAATAAAATTAATGACTCTTAACGATTGATGATGATATTATTTATGCTTCATGAGTTGTGCTTAAATTATCTTGTGAAACTTGTTTCTCTGCAGATACAATATATAACACTATACTCTCAAAAAACTTAAAAAAAAATTTATCTGCTTATAAACAATGGCATATTTATATGTCTAACTGGCCTTAGTTAATATTTTTGAAGTTAAATGACAAAAACATATAATTCAATAGTTATTTCATATTTATTTTTTACTTAATGTATTATATAATATCTTAAGAATCTGATAGCCACACTACCGATAAGTCATTTACTAAATTTATCTCAAAAATATCCGAATTTATAAATCCTTACAGCTGTTCTAAATAAACAGCTTATTTCATAATTCAAACATTATTCATACTTCATTAACTAAATAAATACATTATTTTTATCATCATATATTATGTTATCTGTAACTTGTTCGTTTTTCGAGTTTTAAATCCATATTTATCTCGCATATTATAATATATATAATAAAATATTATAATCACTGTATTGTTTGTAGTGTATTTAAATTATCTTATGTACCTATATCTTGTTTAATTGTTGAACTAAATAGTTACACTAGAAGTTAATAAATAAAAAAAATAAAAAATTTAAAAATATTACATTTTTAACCAAGTGTATGTAATCGATATTTCTTTTAGCTGCAGATCGTTAGTTCGTGTCTACCATTGGACTTTTATTAACACCACTTGTACGAATGTTCACAAACATTGCATCATGTGATTATATTTTATAATTTAATGAAAAAATAAAACGGATGTTCGCCAACGGGTCTTATTGACTCACCAATTGACCGATCTCTAGCCGACCAATCACAACAAATCTCAATTTTTCTAAATTTTTTGTGCAAGCCCATTCATTGATTATTTACGTTTTAGCTCTGAAAGTCGTACCAACATGAAGTGCAGTATATATATTTATATTTTAATAATTATAGGGTTCGTCTGAAGTATTTAAATAACAATTTGTTCAAAGGTTCTTATTGATTAAATTCCATAAAGTCAAGGTTACTGTGAATTATAATATGTAGTATACTTTTCCATTTTTGTACGTTAAAGTTTTAACTAAAGATCACAAAGGAAAGGTTTTTTTTCTTTCTAATTTTTATTATTTTTCAACGTGCATAAATTAATTGATATATAATATACTGATTAGAAATTTAGTTTGATTATTTTATAATATTTTATTTATTGTTTAATATAGGTAAAAAATTCAAAATTATTATTTTGCTTTTCGAGAAAAAAAAATAATGTTCATCACGTGGTGTACATATTTTTTTAATCAAAAATTAATTTTCAAATCTGTTGAGTTTTTGAAACAAGGTTTATACATCTTCATTATTTTATCTGAAAAATCTTCATAGTTATTTGACACCTTGTTGCCTTCATAGTTTCCTGGTAAAAAAATCAGTTACAATATAACATACATTGCAACAGTTTGGCATAAAAGTAGGTTTACAAAAACCGCAGATTTTCAA